AACCACTTGGGGCTCTCGGCGTAAAACCGATATGGAGCATAGCAAATGGCCATGAAGACGACGTAGAAGGACAATGCCAGATGCCAATGGTCTTCAGAGCCCAGCAGCGATTCCATGCTGCAAATCTGAGCCACAACAACGCCACTGCAGTAGCCCACCGAGCAGGCGGAGCCCAGCGCGCCACGCTGAGAGGTTGCGGCGATCTCGGTATGATACATGGGCACGCCCGTGGTGATCAGGCCGGCGCCGAAGCCCACAATGAAGCGAGAGAGCAGCAGCAGCTCCACCGACTGCAGCCAGCGGCAGCTAACGAAGCCAAGCGCGGCGAGGAGCAGCAGCGAGCCGCTCAGCAGGAAACAGCCGCGACGCCCAAAGCGATTGGCTGCCCAGCCGGCGCAAGCGGAGCCCAGGATGCCGCCAATCAAATAGATGGACACAATCAGTGCCCACAGCGTCTCCAGTTGACGAGGAGTCAACACCAGTTGGTACCTGAGCAGGAGCGTCTCTGCACACCAGGCGCGCATGTGCTGCAAGGCAGGCGAAGATTAGACGGAGGCACTGGCTCCTCCAACTTGAACTTACCACAGCCGGATTGTTGATGATGGCCATGCAGTAGCCGCAGGGCACAGCGGCGCCCATGGTGCTGCCCACGGTGCTCCACACGACCAATGGTGTCCATTTGGCTTTCTGTTCCATTGCGATCGTCAAGCGACACTAATCTGGCTGGGATGGTGCAGCAGACTATTTAATCACCGGCTGAGCAGACGCCGCTTAGCAGAAGCAGCTAATCCGCTCAGAATTTATTGTCGCCAACTGCAGACAGTTGGCATTAACTTTGGCGGGCCGCTGAGGGTATTTACAATTTAGCATAGATTGTGTAACAGAGGTCTATCTATATATCTACCATCTATATACAATATAGATTCCTGATCCTAGAGATTCATCCAGTTTGATCTAGATCTCTGCATAAAGTTCTGATCAATTTTTGGATGAAAAGAATTTTGAATATCTTTGCTAGCTTCAGTCAGTCAATAGAAGCAACGAACCCTAACTAACCATATCAGATCGCTCTACCGTCGTAATAGCCCTTAGGTCAATTTACTGTCATAGATCTTAGATAAGTAAGCGGATACTATCTAATCCAGATTACTTATCTATTCCCTTACTATCTTCATTAAAGACGAGCATTACGAGCTGTAAATGAGCAGATGATCATTTAAATATGAAATCTATATAACTTTTACAGCTCCACTATCGATTGACTAACTGATATACAAAAGCCTTTATATATGATGTAGGGCACCACAGTTGGAGTTCTTAGATCGATCAGTAGCTCTATTTGGGCATATTCTAGAATCTATATATCTATCTAATATATAAGTGTAATTATCTCATAAGGGCTAATGATATCATCATCTAGCTTGTATAATTACTACGTGGGTTAATATTATTATATATAATAATATAATCTTAACTTATCAGCTTGCTAGATCATTTCGCTGCACATAGAAACTTTGGGTCGAATCTCTTTATTTGCAAGATGAATACAAACATGAATAGTATAAGCGACTGCTTAAGGGGATATACGGTATAGTTATCATATTAACAAATTGAAAGAAATATTGAATTGACTATACTTAAATAGATCTGCCATAGATCTTTTCGGCTATACAGTTGCGGCCTCTCTAATGCCTTGGTCGCTTTGATTTGAAGCCATCGGCCACAAGTGGCGCCACCTCGGATGGATCACGGCCTCGGGTCTCTGGCACATAGCGTAGGGTGAACATGAAGACCAGCAGGCAGGTGAGGGAGCAGGGTAGGAAGACCAGAGCACCCCAAGCGCTTTGTAAGGTGGGAAAGGTCATGCCAATGATCAAATTGCAAAGCCAATAGACAACGCTGCCCAGGGACATGGCAGCCGAACGTGGCGCCACCTCAAAGAGCTCTATGAAGGGCAAAATTCATGAGAGGATTACGGGCAGAAGCAATTCAAATGTTAACCCACCTGCGCCTATGAAGAAAGGCAATGGACCCAGTCCAAATTGAAAGACAACTATGTACAGAAAGATGCAGACGATGCAGGCCAAGGCAAACCAACTATACAGATCCTGTAAGGGAAGGAGGAGAACATTAGGTAATCCTGGCAAGAATTTTTCCGTGACTCACTCACAATGAATTGCAGCAGCATGGCAAATAGAAACAGAAACACGCAGCAGAAGAAGCTGGAGAAGAGCATCAGTGGACGGCGATTGAAGCGCTCCATTAGGATGGGACCCAACATGGCGGCGGCGAGATTTGTGCAGCCAGCGCCCAGATTGGCAAACTCCGCCTGTTGGGAACTCAGGCCCGCGCGCCGGAATATGGAAACCGAATAGTAGAAGATCTATAAAGGGTAAATAAGACTGAATGATACGAAATCAAAGCAGATCAACTCACTCACCGCATTGATGCCGGACAGCTGCTGACCGCCCAGATAGATGAAGACAATGGCGAGCGGGAGCCGCAGCTGGGGATTGCTTAGCACCTGGGCGTAGCTGCTTGGTGTGCTCTTCACCCGCGCCTCCTCCTCCATGTCGCGGAGTTCCGCTTGCAACGCTTCACTGTCCCGGGCATAGCCTCGCAGCAGTTGCAGCTGCTGCGCCGCCTCCACCTTGCGACCCTTCACAATGTACAGCCATTTGGGACTCTCGGGATAGCACCTGAAGGGCGCATAGCAGACCAGCACAAAGATGCCGTAGAGTGCCAGGGCCAGATGCCAGTGCTCCGGTCCGCCCAGCACCGTTTGCAGGCTAAACACTTGTGCGACGACCACGCCCACCGTCAAGCCGAGACCGCAGAGCGGCGCCAATTTGCTGCGTTGCTGCAGTGCAGCCAGCTCGCTGTGATACATGGGCATGCAGGCGATGACCAGGCCAGCGGCCAGGCCCACCAGCAAACGGCCCAGACACAACAGCTCCACGGAGCGCAGCGGGCGACAGGCATAAAAGCAGATGGCGCCCAAGCCCAGCAGCAGACCGCAGATGAAGGCAGCGGGACGGCGACCAAATCGATTGGCTATCGAGGCGCCCGTCATGGAACCCACAGCGCCGCCGACGAGGAAGAGGGAGACTACTGTGGCCCATAGCAGCTCCAAGGCGTCGGCGCTTAGCTGCAGATCGTAGCGCGCCAGTAGCGCCTCCTGGCACCAGGCGCGCATGTGCTGCGGGGGAAAAAGGAGGCAAAAAAGAGAGAGAGAATGAAGAATGAAAAGAATGAAAAAGAAAGAGATAGGGAAAGAAAGAATGTAATTGGAAGTGCCTATGTATACAGATGTATAACAGCAAGTCAAAACAAGTATAACACGGCGTATAACAGAAAGGAGCAATATTAGAGAATCTCCATACTTCAATAAAAGTGTAACATTATTCTATTAAGGATATATGTACAAATAATATACTTAAATAGTATAGCTCTGTGTATAACAGAAGTTATATGAAATACTAAAGGATGCCCATATACCAATTAATGTAAAACACGTTTCCTGTTAAGATCTATAAGCATGAGGAATATGTAGAACATCAATTCAATATGTATAACAGTTAGTATAGCAGTGATGATTACCGATCTAACGTCATGATTGGATAGGAAATGAATAGAAATGAAAATGATCTCAAACTGCTTTTAAAATGTAATACTGATATATTTATGCTAGTTGTTATAATAAAGATTATAACAGATGCCATGAGAATAGAACCAATTAATAAAAGGATTTCAAACAGTAAACTAAGGACTAAAACAAATGTTAAGATTATTGCAAAAAAACTGATCAAAGTGATATATAATTATGTATAACAGTTAGTGCAACACTTTATACAACAGTGGCCAAATGATAGAAAAAAGGTGATATGACATAATGATGCTGTGGCTCGCAAATAACTGTTTACGCATTGAACGTACGTAACGTGCTTCTGAGATAAACGAAAAAATGCATTCACACTCGCTTTCGCTCTGAGCAAGAGCATTCGTGTTTTTTCCGACTTCGTCTTCGTGTGAGCGGTTTACATTGAGCCATTTGCTCGAAGCTCTTTAAAGAGCGTCGCGATGCTCGTTTCGGTAGTGATACGATTCACACTCGCACAATGAAGCTCAGTAAGAGATGGATAACTGACACTCACGTACGGTATTGATGTGGGTGTCTAGCGAGTAACGAGAACGGAATACCCGAAACGTTTGTCTCTGAGCGCGATCAATCTCGTTGAAGGTCAGCTAGAGATTGACAGAGCTCGAAAGTCTCCATATGGACTCACCCACATATATAAGAGTATTTACTGGTGTATAACAGTTGGCAAATTGAAGCTCTACTCACCACAGCGGGACTATTGACCACGCCCGTACAGTAGCCCACGGGCAGAGTGGCGCCCAGCGAAGTGCCATAGACAGCCAACTTCAGGGTCCAGCTCCATTTGGGCTGTTCCTGTATAACTCGAGTAGTGCAAGTGTTATACGTTACGGAACGAAATTGCTGTCTTACCAAGCTCTTAGCGCTATCGCGTCCCATTTGCGCTGCGTTGCGAAACGTCAATGAGTCGCCTTCGTGTTGCTTATCCATTCGACAGCTGGCTTCCATGTTGTGTGAACCTGCGGAGGCAGTGCTTCACTGGCCACTGGGCTGGGGCTGTAATTCATTTTGGAATCCGCATCAGAATGCTGATAAGGGACACGATTACGATTCTGATAGCGTATGGCTTCTAAATGTAAATTTCTTTAATTGCTCTCTAACTGCAGAATTGCCCGCACGGCCGCCCCACCATGCGTCATCTAATCAATATCACGATGCTTATGGATGAGGATGAGGCCGAATGACAGCAAATGACAACGACGCCCCCAACCCAAATACTGGAAGCCGCAATAAAACGAGCTACAGCCAACTATTTGTCAACAATGAGTTTTTCTTATATATATGTATGTATAATATATATAGATATATATCCATGTAGTAGTAGCTAATATATATATAAAACCTCACACGCTGATCGTGCGAAAGATATTGAAGCCGCTGTGCGCCGTGGAGAGCAGCACGCCCGGCAGCTGGGGATGCCAATGCAACTCTTTGATCTCCTTTTGGCCTTGATGTATGAAGAGCAGCTGCGGCGGCAGCTTGTTGATTTCCTCTTGATTCTCTGCCGGCGCTGACGCTTGATCCGCATCCGTTTCCACAGCTAGATCCCAGAGCGCAATCTGATCATCATCGCCGCCGGAGGCGAGCACGGTGGCCTCGCTGGGATTCCATTCAACCGTGGTTATGTGATCCGTATGGTGCTTGAATGTGGCAATTGGTTTTTGGCTCTTGAACTGGCGCAAGTCCCAGATGTGCAGGAAGCCATCGTCGCCGCCGCTAGCTATGAAGGGTTCCGTATGGTTCCACGAGATGACATTGATGTCGCTCTCGTGCGCCTTCTCACAGGTGAGCATGCAGGCCTTTTGCGGCGCTGCACGGCAATCCCAAATGCGTATGGTCTTGTCCACCGAGCAGGAGGCGAGAACGCTGCGCTCATTGGGACTCCATTGCAGGTCTTCGACCGAGGCCGTGTGGCCGACCAGTGGCCGTTGATCCACCTTCCAGGTGCCATCCTCCAGGGGGCTCCATATGTGTATATCACGTCGACAGTCGCCTGTGGCCAACACGCCCTCGGCACTCGGGCTCCAATCGATGGCGAATCCCTCCTGCTGATGTCCGCTGAACGTATAAACCGGTTTCGTCTCATTGTTGGCGCTTTGCTGTTCGTACTGCTTGAGCAGCTGAGCATCTTCGACGGCCTGCAGTTGCTGTGACAAACTCCAAATGTTCACGCGTCCCAATTCGCTCCAAGAGGCAGCAAAAACATTGTTGCCCATGCGACGAGCGCGCACTCGATTTACACAGCCCTGATGCTTGATTAAGGCGCAGGTCATTTGCGGCTTCTTCAGCTCGCTCTTGTCCGCCACATCATCCTGATCGTCTTCCAGCTCCTCGTCGTCGTCATCGTCATCGCCTTCCTGTGTCTTGTGTAAATTGCTCATCTTCATCACAATCAAATTGTTGACGTGTGTGCGTGCTGCCTGGGTGCCGGCTACAATGTAGGCAGTCATTGGAAAGCTTTCTCGGCTTGCGCCCAGCTCATCGGGCACTATGTCGAAGCTGAGGCATGGCGCTCCCGTCGATGCCTGATGCAGCATGACGTAGGCGCTTTCATCGCAAACGAGCTCCTCATCCTCGGCCAAGGTTTTGCCCGGCAAATAAACCTGTTTGGGAGCTTTTGGGGTGCCATCCTCATTCTCGTCGTTATCGCTATCGGGCTCCATGTCGCTTTCTGCATCCTCCGGCTCTACGACCTCCATATCAATCACATCCTTAGGCGGGTCCATGGCTATAAGTTCGAATTCCTATTGAAATGCCCCAAAAACTCTTGTTTTGGCGCTGCACGTGTGTGATTCGTCCAGCAAACAGTGTGACCACCACCAATACAGGCAGTTAAAGCTGAATAAAAATGTTAGATAATTTCTGTATAGCAATGTGACCAGCACTAGAAACTTCAATAAAATACCATTCGTAATAGAACAAGTGCATTTGTTTGTCAACGCTACACACCTGGGACTGGAGTTCATTCTATGCCCTACAAAAATATACTAGAATATTTCAGTGTATCAAAGTGTGCCTGCTGTTATCAGTATTATTATTTGTTCACTCATCTTGCGACAGCAAAACAGCACAACTGAAGTAATACGTTAAAGTATAACAAATTTTTTGATTTAAAATGGCTAAAGCTGGTAATCCATTTAATATTCTGCGTAGCATCTACAACAATGAGTTCCAGTGGTAAGTAGCATACACGAAAACTATATGTCGGAACAATGTTTACATAACCAAACTTATTTCTCATTCCTTGCTTTTAGGATGTTGGTAAAAAGTTTTGGTATGTTCTTTCTGGGCGTCCGCATTGCCAAGGAATTTGTGGGCGTTGAATTGATGCCCACTGTGTTGCCGGCTTAGTGTTTTTAAAAATGACGAGAAAAAACCAAATTCACTATGTACAAATAACAAGATAGGGGGCAGTTAACTAATTATAATAAAAAACAGAGAAAACAGTATATACAAATTTACTTTCTCTACTAGTTTCTGCTAACAATCAATTCCCTTATCTTCGACTCATCCATATCGATTTCATGTATCAAGCTATCCGCCAATATGCGCGGCGTCAGATCGCGCTGCAAGAAATTCGCCACCAGCTTCCGGCTGGGCACAGCGCCTCCATGCGCCAGGATCTCGGCACGATACTTCTCGCCCGCCTGCCGGTTGAAGGGATTCGCCTCGAAATACGTCTGCCATATCCAGGAGGCGATCGTTTTCGATATGAGATACGCATAATACTTGGCACCGTAACCCACCAGATGGGAGAAGCGCAGCTGCCAGGCCGTATTGTCCACATAGGGCAGACCATAGTAACAATTCTGGACATCACGCAGCGTTTCTGTCGTGCTCTTGCCCTGCTTGGCCGCCTCGCCGTGGTAGACCTGATCGAGCGCCGAGTAGAAGACCTGTAGCTGCGTCTCGCTGGCCGCGAACAGATGCTTCGAGGCGCATAACCGCTGCAGCATGTCCTCCGAGATGGGTTTGTGTGTCTGAAAGTGGCGGGCGAAGGTGCGCAGCACTCGAGGATCACTGGCAAAGTACTCCATTAGCACGCTGGGAACCTCGGCAAAGTCGGTGGCACAACGTGTGCCCGTCACATGCTGATACTCGGTGCGCGCCAACATCGAGTGCATCGCATGGCCCATCTCGTGGAACAGATTGTCGAGGCGAGCGGGCGACAGCAGCGTCGGTCCCGTCCACCGGGGCTGCGCCAAGCCCAGCATCACAACCACAATGGGCAGCTGGTAGCTGCCGTCGGGCAACCGCTTGCCACCCTGGATAGTGAAATGGCAATCCTGATTGGGCTTGCCCGCTCGCTCAAAGAAGTCGCAATAGATATAGCCGAGCAGTCCTTCGCTCTCGTGCATCACGGCCAGCTTGTAGATGTCGCTATGCCAGCTCTCGCCGGGCTCCATTTCCGTGTTCTGCAGACGGACGCCGTACAGCGAGTGCAGCAAGTTGTCCAATCCCTCCATGCAGCCGCCTAGCGAGAAATAGGGCAGAAATTCATTTGCTTGCTCCTCCAGTGATTGCCGCTTCAGCTGCGATGTAAAGTACGGCGTATCCCAGATCTCAACCAGCGCCGTGTTTTGTCCACTTTCTTTACGCTTCATTTGGGTCATCACCGCGAAATCGGCATCGGCACGCGGACGCAGTTGCTCCGACAGCTCATCAATGAATTCGCGCACAAGTTCCGGCTTCTCCATGGTGCTGCCGTTGAGCGCACGATGCGCGTAGGTTTCGAAGCCACAGCTGCGCGCCAGCTCATAGCGGCAGATTAAGAGATCCTTGAGCAGCTCCTCCTGACTATCGGAGGGCTGTAGATATAGCCGATAGGCGGCTTCCCGCATCTGGACATTCGCTGCATTCGTGCAGAGGCCCGTGATGATGATGTTCTCGCCAGATGTGGGAAAGCTGTAGGGAAGGAATTTATGATTAGCAAATGCTCAGCACTACACATAGCACTAATCCGCTCTTACTAATCCCTTATGTCCTCCGGCACACAGCTGCGCGGCAGCACCGTCGGCTGAGCAGCTCCGTTCATGAATTTCTGTCCCAGCTGGAGAATATAGTCATTCAAGCGCACCACGCGCAGCCGCTCCTTCTCGGGTAAATGGATGCCGCACTGCTCAAAGTCGAACAGAAACAACTTGGCCACATGACGATCCACTTCGGTGGTGGGCATCAAGTCGCCATCGCAAACCACTTTACTGAGCGCTTGATACAGCGGCTTGTGAGTATTCAGGCTCTCCACGACGCCGCAGATGCTAATGCAGGCCTGCTCGGCCGCCTGCATGTATTTGTTTTGCGGATGGGCAATGCGCACGAACTCGGCCAGATCGGCCACTTTGCACAATGAATCGGACAGCTCGTCAAAGATGTCCACCATCTTGCGTTTCCTCTCGCTGGATACGGCCTCTGCGATGAGCTCTTGCGTGGAGTTCTCGACATTTTCTCGCAGCAGATGAAATCCATCGGCGTTGCGCAGTTCGGGCATGAGAAACAGACCCTGTCACAATAATAATCGTATTACTAAGATATATGTATATTTTATTTTAACTTTCTCTTTCACCTGGGGGAAGCACTTACCACCTCGTTGCGTGTGAAGTTGATTCGTTTGGTTGGCGGCGCATTGAAGGCTGTGCCCAGTGGCGACCAGGTGGAAAGCTGTCTGTGTTGCCGCCAACAATGCTGCCGCGCAGCTTTAGCTATATTATGGCTAATTTTATGCATTATTATTTTGATTCAATTTCAATTTACTGCCGACTATTACATATTCAGAGGCCAATCAGCTGTTCCGGCAAACACGCAGACAGAGGAAGAGAGAGCGAGAAAACATACAAATACTCGACAAACCAAAATATGCCAAAACTGAAAATACCTAATAGAGCTGCCAGATCGCCACAAAACTTTATTTATACATTTACGAACAGCGAGCTGAGCTACCAGACTGTTACAATACTGTGTATCAGAAACGGCGATACCAGCTTGCTTCAATTTATTTGATTGTTATTATTTAAATTTAATTTTTCTTTAAATATTTGAATTTGTTTAAATGAGAACATAAACTTAAAAATATAAATAACAATTTAGTTTAAGACTCTAAATATGTTAAAAACTATTTATGTGGGGATTTCATAAAAACGGCAAAAGTGCACCACTTGAAGTGCTCAGAGACTTGGATACGATAAACTAAGTAACTCTCAATGCATATAGCGTAAATAGCAATAGGTAAAAAGATAACCACGTATTGCTACTGCCCGAGAACATTCTAACGGTTTTATCAACCCAAGCCTCAACTTTGGAATAATTGACAAACTTCAACGCTTTGATGCCTTCACATTTCTGTGCCCCACCGATAATGCCCGTGAAATAAGTGGAGCAAATAATTGGCGAACCCAAATCACCGGGACAAACTTGCCCCTCATCCTTCGGCTCGGCGCATATGCTACTTTCGCTATCATAATTTTCCATTCCGTTGCAGAAATCGTGATCGCGCACTGCCACTTCCAGATACATCAATTCATTGGCATATGGACCATGCTAAATAGTCAATGTATACATATATATATGGATAAGAGTCAATCGATCAATTAGATCGATAGCTAGCGATTATTACCGGATAGAGCTGACCCCAGCCCATGGTGATGCATAACATGCCCACGTAGAAGCTGGCCCACTTTCGTGTCATTATCGGCTTTACGTGTCGCGTATTGCCCGGAATACGATCCGCCAAGCGCAATAGAGCCACATCGTATTTCAAATAACGCTGATATCTTGGATGCACAGCAATCTGTGTGATGCGTCGACTGTCGTCCTTGCCATATTTATCCAAGCGTCCCACAGCCCCAAAGACGACCAGTAAACCGCGTGGATTCATAATGGATTTATGACGGCTGTGAATTAAATATATGAAAATAATTATATGCATACATATATAGCTCTCCTTAGTAATTGCTTACTCTGTCACACAGTGAGCTGCAGTTAAGACGGTCTGACTGCTTAGAATGACCCCGGTGCAGAAGTGATTATCGCCATAGAATTGTATGTAATGCAATGTGCGTATTGAGACAATATTGCGTACAAATTTGCCGTTATCGGGCACTACGCCACCTGCGATTAGCATCTGAAATTGATCATCGCTATTCCGGGTAAAGGTGCCCCGTTCCCCATTTTCCAAATCCAATCGGATAACCACCAATAGCCAAACAATTAAGATCTGATAGATATTCATTATTCATTGCTTCGACTGAGACTCTAATGGAATATTATGAATAAATGCGAGCAACTGGCATATGTATCAAATGGTATGTGGATTAAAACCCTAAAATATATCACAGCATGTAACTGTGCTATGATTTATAATTTCGAAATATAAACGAGTTTTCGATGCCTTTGTGCCGATTATTTAAAATGGCGGTAAAGCAAAATGGTGCTGCGGAGTTGCCATTTACATGCAAATGACGTGCAGTATTTAATTGCAAATAAGCACAAAGCATAATGAGGAAACATTACCTTTTTGAGTATCGATACATGAGCTCGATAGCTATTGCCAATCAGCAGTGCAATTGCCGGGCTTTGATCGAGTGAACGCGAAGTTTTACGAGAAATTAAATATTTATATGTATTGTATGTTTTCTTTTATGAGTATAACATTTATTCGAGCAACTAGCTCCCAACTACATATAGCAAATACTATGTGCCACAAATATCTAATACAAATCGAACTCTGGCATACAGTAAGTGTGGAACTTGTTTATATACATACACATGTACATATGCATGTAAGTACATATGCACAGCACATCTGTCTTAGATTTTGCTAGCACATGAGGCCGAGATTAAAACTACATAGTAACTTCAGTAACTAGTAATAGCTTCTGTGCGGCTAATTACGCCTATTGGGCGTTTACACACAAAATATAGCGCACACACACACGCACACATACATACACCATAATATATATTGAGAGGGAGAGAGAGAGAGAGTGGGTGGGTAACTGTAGTAATTTTGCTGATTCGTAAATTGCGGTTTCTCTGTGCGTTTGCCTCATTTACGTTTGGGCAGCTTGTAGTTCGTCGGCGGATGCAACTTGAGATGGTCCAGAAAAACTGGCTGCATATCCGCACACCACGAAATTTCCTCACGCGCACGCACCGGCCCATCCTTGCAAGTCAACCAATAGGTGCTCATTAATCCCTTGCCCTGCGAAATAGAATCAGATTATAAATGTGGACTATTAATTTAACGATATGAGGCATATGAATAACGGCTATGTACGTCATATGTAGAAGGCAGAATTCCGACTTTTCATATTATTATTATTATTATTTTCGCACTCCCAATTAATATGATAATAATCGACTATGCAAATATCGTAAGAATATTTCAGCCCATAGCTCACCTTGACATCGATGAGGCCGCGATGCTCGGTCTTGTAGCCGCCCACCTGTTGCAGAGCCTCGTGCATCTCCTCGGTGATATGTATCTTCTGTGCCTCGCCGGTGCTCTCCATGCGCGATGCCGTGTTCACCGTATCCCCGAATAGACAATATCTTGGCATTTTGGTGCCCACAATGCCGGCGACAACGGGTCCGGTGTGAACGCCGCAGCGGATCTGAACAAACTCGTCGCCGGCGCGTGGAATCCGAAACACAGACGAGGCGTCCAGCAAATCAAGTGCCATTGTTGCAATCTCGGTGATGTGCTTGTTGCCTGCGGGGGCGAGCCAACCGAAACATATGTTTAGTGTCTTTTTTTCTGCTACATTTTTTTTTTTTTTTTTTTTTTTGGTAGGGGGGCAGCATAAATTAAGGACGCACAAAGCCCAAAATTAGCGCACAAGTCWGAAACATGGGAATGGCGATGTTTGGCATGGAGGGGGCGGGGGATGTTTGGCGGGGCGGCGCCGTGAGTTGGGTAAATGCCTGTTCGGATTGACAAGTTGACAATTTGCATGAATTACCGTTTTTCACGGGCAGCCCAGAGGCCACCATGTAGGAGTCGCCAATTGTTTCCACTTTGTAGACATCGTAGCATTCAATGCGCTCATCAAAAACGCGATAGATCGAATTGAGAAAGGTCACGACCTGTCGAATATAGTTATACAGTTTATCATGTCCATTAAGTTCTCTGATTTAATGGAGCTTACCTCCAGGGGCGTGCACTCGGCCGCAATTTCGGTGAAACCCACAATATCGCTAAAGTAAATGGTAACCGCTTCATAGAGCTCAGCGGGCACCTGACCGGGCACAATTTAATGAAATAGAAAGCCGTTAAAATTGAAATGCAAATACAGTCGAGACTCGCTATCGAATACACGCAGGACCCATATAAATTGCGTGTTCAATACTAATAAATAATAAGTAATATGGAATTCTTAGTCTACACACGCACACACACAGACACACATATTCTCACCTGCTGCGTCTGCTTCAGCTGCATTGCGACGCTTGGCGGCAACATTTGAAAAAGCAACGAATCACTTTTGCGTTTCTCACGCTTCAGCTCCTTGGCCTTCTGGGATAGATTCATAGCATAAAGCTAGCAAAGAAATCAATAATTTATATTAATTCAGCCAATCTACCGTCTCTTTCTTACCTGAATAGTGGCTGCTGCATTCTTGACTAGTATGATTATAATGGGCGAAACGAGCAGCACAACAACCAAAATGGCTATGCCAATGGCTTCCTTGCGATCTGCTTCGACTAATGTTTTATCTACATATTCTCTGCAACGAAAAGCAATTACTTAAAAATCTCCGCTTATAACTATGCTATACTTTGCCAGTCTCATATGCAAATAGGTTTCCATTTGTTTTTCAGCTGATTATGCAAAATGGCGGCATGGAGTATCAGCATACCATTATCGATAGAAACCTAAGTGCAATAAGAGCATATTCAGTATGCAGCGCAGCTGCGGAGTTGCCATTTACATGCAAATTACATGCAGTATTTAATTGCAAATAAACATATGCAAACAACTTGTGCAGTATTTAATCGCAAATTAAGAACAAAGCAAAATGGGAAAAGATGACCATTTTGAGTACAACATCGATACATGATTTCGATAGCTATTGCCAATCAGCAGTGTGTTTACCGCGTGCTGATCGAGTGAAAGTGAAAATTTACAAATTTGTGTAAAAGCTTCTGTAAAAGTGTGTATAAAGGTATTTATTCAACTTTTAACTAATTTCTTACTTAATTAGTCGGCGTAACGCCTTTTGTAGTATGCGCAAATCGTCCGTGTAGTTGTGCATAAACTCATTATATTCAACTGCGCTGCGCTCGTCCGAGATATTTGGCTTATTCTTTAACACCATGTTGCTCCTATTAATTATATATATTAATGAATATGGTTAGTGTGCACATAGTACATTAAACTAATATCAATTAAAGCGCAATTATCAAGTGCCACTCACATGAGCTTAACGCGATGATATTTCTTCGAGCTCGTGATATTAGTATACATGGCCTTCAGGATGGGCGCATAGTTCAAGGTGGAATTAATCATCTCTCGCGCCATAAACTCGTAACGTACATAGGAAACGAAATTCTCAGCGGTGAGCGGCCCTCTGCCATAGTAGCGTATGCCAAACGAGGTGGCTATATTCTGGCACTCAATGCTCTTTAATAGATTCTTAAAGCCCACCAAATAGCTGTAAGAGAAGTTTTTATTGTTATGGTTGGATGGGGGACGTGTGTGGGAAAGAGGAGGATGTTGTTAACGTACCGCCAAACGCCGCTGTTGTCCGTTTCTTTAATTTGCTCGTTTAGATGATGTAGCAGTCCCCGATTAATGGATGTATACCAATTCATAACTTCGGTTATGGAACTATCCTCTGGCTCTAAGCGCACACGTTCGCGAAATTCATTTAAGCGACTCTGAAACTCATTGCGATTCAACATAACCTCTCGGTCATCCTCGTCCTCATCGGGCGCCGTTGGCACACTTATCTCGCTCCATGTTGTCATATTGTTTAGCGCATGATCCGTGTTGGCAAAGCGTTGAGTTAGATTTGCCCTGAACAGGTTTATATATACATGTGTATATATATTTATATATTTTCGCACTTGTTATGACTGTCAAAAGGCAAAGTCTATCATTATCTCAACTCACCGCTGCTTGCTGCCATTGGTGAAGATATAGAAGGCCACCTCGGAGCGCTCGAGCTGCAGTCGCGTCACAACTTTGCCCAAGTCCGTTGCAATTGTCACCTGGTTTCGTGGGCGAACCATTGATAAATGAGATTATCTAGTGTAGGTGGATATTGTGTGTGTGTGTGTGTATGTGTGGGTGTTTGTGTGTCTTCCTCTGTCTATTGTCCTTTACGGGGCGTGGTCTTGATTAGTTAGTCATTTGCTTGGTAACATATTGAATAATTCATCAAGTTCGCTTACTTTTGCATATACTTATTAATTACTTAGCGAAGTATTTCTATTCTTATTACAAAAGTTTTCTTTTCGATTATTGAGTTTGATTGGGTGTAATTAGAAGTAGAGGTCTGAGCGAAATCTAGGACTCATATGTGTCCAAGGCATATTAGCAGAAATATCTATTATTACTAGTTTTTTTTTTTTTTTACTTTATTATTTATAATGTATCTATTCATTAATCTGCAGAGAAGGTAAACCATTGCTAACTGTAACTTAAAGTAATAAAATATTTATTAAACTTAAAGTAAATAAATATTGAGCTTAAAGTAATAAAATATTTCTTCAAACGTAGAATGAAATTAAATTATACTTCTCCAGACAATAAATTATTTGTTGCTAGGAAAACTGAATTGCTCAAGTGGCCTGAAGACTTGCTCTAATTGACCAAGCCATTTCTTTGGAAAAAGAAGTATTTGATTTAGTTTAGATTTGATTGTTTAAATTACGTTTATTGCATATATTTCATTTAATATTTTAATGTCAAATTTATTGTGGTTGATTACCTGTTATCCTATGGGATTCTCTTCGCATCTCTCTCTCTCTCTCTCTCTCTCTCTTTTATTACTTATTCCATTTATTTCGATTAATATTTGTATTGATTGCTGGCAATGTGCGAAAATACTCCAGAGAGAGAGAGCGCGAGAGCGTCAAATCCCTACAGCCAATTAGACAATTTGCAAATTACTAAACACTTGAGAGACTCTAAATTGTTTTCTGCTGCACTCTTGAGATTACTAATTGCGACACCCGCTGTAGGCCCTTTGGTTAGGGTATACACTTAGCTGTGCTTAGCCACATTCAGGTCAAGTACGTGACTCAATTCAAGGACTCTCGCAGTGTGCGCATTTCCTGGCTGCCACGCCCACACAACTTTTGTAACTGTGCCAATGCATATTTTCGCCTATCAATTCACTTTAGCATCAAGCAATATATTTATTTATTTCTTTATCATATCTCACGCATTTGCATAAAATAAAGAGGAGAAAAAACGATGGTGGACAGCAAAGGAGCTCAACGCCCGTCACTCAGGTGGAATGGGATTGAAAGCTCCGACGACGTTGAGTACCTTGTCTAGCGACTGCTTCGTGCGCACTTGAAGCATGCTGCACTTACCTGACCAAACAAATATTGCCGATTGGAACAGCCCCGCCACGCCCCCTAAGGCCTCCCCCCTGTTCGATAGCCATCGTCGTCATGAACGCACAGCGAGTGAGAGGACACTTGCTACACTGGACTACACATCTGTTACTTTTCTGTTTGCTTTTTTTTTTTTTTTGCTTTTCAAGTGAGCATTGAGCGTGCCAGGACATGAACTTTACTTGCCTCGTATGATTGAATTTCAGCAATAAATTTTAATTAAGCTTGCAGACTTGCTCCTTTCCTTCTATCTACCTCTCCCTCTCCTTCGGTTTGTTTGTTCACCTGTTGACTTACCTGCGTCTCAATGTCGGCCACATCGGCTCGATACTCCAATATCTCCTGCAGGGTTAGTGATGTTTGCACAATCAATGCCAATATGGGTATGAATGGTAGAATTATCATCTGCAAAATAGATATATGTATAGGTACAGTGATAGCTCTATCAACGAGCAGCTGAGTGAGGGGTAAATATGTTCTTAAACTGAACTATGCATTATGCATTAATTAAAGAATAAGAATATTTAGCTATGTACAGTGAACTCTTGACTAACGAATAACCAAATTGAATAATACTTTCTGGTATTATTTATTGGTATTATTTGTTAATTATATTCGTCCATACTTCATGAACTCTCGACTAATGAATTGAACAAATTTAATAAATAATTGTGTTACATAATTCTTTCCATATAATATATTATAGTAGTTCATTTATACTCTACAGTAAAGTCTCGCCTACAAAACATCTGTTTTTCTATGATATAAATAATGGATTTGTAAATTCTTATGTGTCATAAAAATATGAGAAATGTATATGTATGTACAGTGAAGTCTCTAATGGGAACTTTCCACATATATTAGGATTTATTGATACTTCGGCAAACACAATAATTTTGAACTTTACTGTACTCAATTTAAAATCCTTCAGTAATTATTTTGCTTAGATTCCAGTAGAACTATTGTTCGGATATGAGCTCTACGACACACTTTGATTCCCTTTCTCTTTCCATTATTCTACTCAAGCTCTTCATTTCCTTCTCCCTTAGTGTTGCAGTTCACTCTAGGTAGCACACACTGTATGCGGTCTATTTTTGATTTCTCTAGAGTTGCCTATCTATTCTCATTTGTGTGTGTGTGTGCGTCTCTCGGTGTCTGTGTGTTGAAGTGTGATTAGTCTTTATCGTGCTGTGTTGCTAATCGCGCCACTTCATTTGGTCAGCGCACGTGACCGGCTCGACGCCCCTCCCATCCCCCCTCTGCCCTTCGTTCACTCAGCCTTGCGTTCGTCCAGCTGTTGCGCTAATTAAGATGCATACGCTTTTGCTAATTTATGCTGGCTGACACATACACACACACACACACACATATAGACCTCTTCTCCCTTTTCTTTTGGGCCATATTCAACTCACCTGCATTAGCTGCAAACGTCGCCCCGTTTTTATGGCCGGATTTCGTGCCGCTGCACTGCAGCATCGTCCGCTGCCAACATTGGAAATATCCTCGGAACTAATCGAGCGCACGGAAATTTTATCGAGTTGCAGATTGTGATGCGTGTGTGTGGGCAACAGCAGGGAACCACCAGCACCAGCACCAGCCCCACCACCGTCGCCAGCACCACCGGCCGTGCCACCAGCTTCGTTGCCTGAACGAATGGCGGGATGATTAGATTTGCAGTTGCTAATGTTTATCTTAATGCATGTGGATGCTGCGGCAGATGCTGAAGCGGAGGCTGTTGCCGAAGCTGTTGCATCCACAGCTGTTGTCTCCATGTCGCTAGATAGTTGTTGTGGTTGCTGTTGTTGTTGTTGTTGCTGTAAACCTATATTCAATTTGCAAGCTGCTCTACCATTTAGCATATTGTTCATTGCCCAAGCGAGCACATCGAGAACGGCTCATAAATACAAACGTTTATGGCTGCATAAAAAGCAATACATAATTGTTGTTGTTGTTGTTACTGTTGTTGTTGCTCGAGTGTATCAGCTTCGATCATAGAGAGATAGAAGCACTTGTCTGGCTTTTTCCAGCTAACTCTAATGAGATGAAGGCGAGGCGGACGCTGATACGCGCAAAATAATTGCAAAAAAGGAATAAATACAGGCACATATGTGTGTGCATATGTATGTATATGTGTGTCTGGCTATGGGTGTGATAAGAGCTGGAGAGCGCAACAGAGCGACTCAACCAGTCAGCGAAATGTCAGCAGAACAAATTTGATGGATGAGCAGCCAGCGATGGCTTTCATGGGTTTGGGTTTGTTTTGTGTCCTGTCCAGTCCTGTCGCACTTTCAGTTTAATTGAAGTTACATTTGATATCAAAGTGAGGAAATGTAATGAAAGGGCGAGTAAATAAAGGATTATTAGCACAAGCAACATTTCAATTGCTGTCTGCTTATATTTTTCGCTCAGTGTAGCTTTGTGCAAACAATTTCTGCAATGCACACCCACTCACACACACACACACCAACACACACCAACACACCCATAGTCACACACTCACGCACAACCCAGACAGACACACACACATCCTTTCGACACTGCCTGTTGCTCTAGTTGTTTACTTTTACACACATCAAACGCATTTATTGATTAAACTTTTAATTGCCTTGACAAATGCTCATCAAACGGGGCAAAAGTCAATCAACACACATTAATGAAAACAACAAAAACTTGAAAAAATTATGATTAATGCGATAACACGTTAAGAAAAGGAAATGCCCTGAGCATGCCATAAATTTTCGATTTTAAACCGTAGAAAGGCACCAACAAATTTCGTTATATATTTATTTGCACATCAATCGCGCCCGCACATAAACAATAAATATTATTAATATTATTTTTATTGCCACATTAAATTGTGGAGTGGGGCGCACATGGGGGTGGCGAGCCACAAAATTCAATTATCTATTTGGGCCAAATGCTGGAATACCGTTAATGTCGCGTTATGCGCGTGTTGTTCCAACTGAAGCGACCGGCAGCAACTGAACTTAAACCTGTTGAGTTTCGTCCGTTTATAGGAGGTTGCTCTAGCTCAAATCCCTGTTGGGGCAGCCGTAACACCCACCCTTAGGACCACCCACAACTGTTAGGCAGCTGTTAACGACAACTGAGTCGATAGTGTCTCGTACTTGGGGAATTTGTCTGAAAATTTTTATGATTTTTTAAATAATTTTTTTAGAAACTACTTATGTATGTATGTATGTATTACTATGTATATTTTTAAATTTTTTAACAATTTGTTCTATTAACAAGAATAAATATTGCTGAGGGTTAACGGTATTTTAGCAGCTGCAACAGCTTGCCTGCTGAACTGCTTGAAAATACTTGCTCAAATACTGCTTTCTGTCGACAGAGACTTGTTGTGGTTGAGTAGTACAAAGCTGCTTGTTACAAAACTTCGTTTCCATGAAAGATTGGTTGTACAGAGCTGGGTTACACCCCCAACAGTTAAAAGCTGCTTGATAGGCAAGGACTAAGCGCGATACTTAATGTATATTTGATAATGATATATGAGAGTATATACGGACAGCATATATATAACCTTACATGTATTTCACGGCGGACTTATAGGCTGGCATATTCTGTTCTATTGAATTTCTTACAATCTCAGTGTGCGTTTCGTTTCTACGACCGAGGAAATGTTCTCCGTCCTAGGCTCCCATAGCAGCATATGGTGATTGATCGTGTCAGGCTGTTCTATGGGAAGATTGTCAGGGATCAATTTGTAATATGTCACAATAAAAACGCGGTTTTAGGATACGAATATTTTACAACTAAATGAAGCAGAAGTGTAGTCCCGTAAAGATAATGAACACAATTCGAAAACATTGTTCATACATCAATCATTTGTTATATTATATTTTTATTTTATGATTTCGTATGTGCGTGAGTGTGTGTATGAGTTTCGATGTGTATGCAAGGCGTCTTCACAAAACAAAATCTATCTATTCTTCTTCCAATACCACTGAATCTCATTCGGTGGCAGTTTCGGAGTCGCCCCTCTCTAACGTATGATCGCTAAGCGACAATAATGCAAACAGATGAAGTTAATAAGTAATTTGCAATTCGTCTTTAATACACGTGCTATACACAGTTTAAGAACCCCGCCGACATAGATTTATTCAACTAAATTGTTTAAACAAATTTGCACATGCCAAAATGGCGCTACACAAATATGAACTGCTTGCTTAACTACTCTTGCTTGCTCAATTTCATTTAACTCGTGTCACAAGCTGCGTGCTATGCGCCTTCTGAGCGCAAGGCTGCTTGCTATGATCAGGACACTTGCTGCTTTCCGTCTCTTCTCTTTGTTTAGAAAGCTTCAATTTAATTGCCACAACATGTGGTATGATTATTTATTTATTTATTTATTTATTTATTTCTTAAAGCTATTGACAAAAACGAGAGTCAATTTTAATTTAAAAAAGCCTATACAAAGTACACGATATAATTTCAAATAGTAACACCAACCCGATGGGGGTATTTTATTTGCCAGTCCGGCCGGCTATGCCCACGTCTCACAGCCAAATATGGTCAGTGATACTATTGAAGCTATGAAAAGAAAGTGTTAGTAAGAAACTTAAAAAAATAAAATATTAAAATGTTGGTTATTAACAATATCTAGCATAATTAAAATAATTCTTAAAATAATAATAAAAATAAAAAAAATAATANAAAATCAAAGATTCAAGAGAGGCAAATACAACAACCGTAGATAGTGAGAGCAACTTATGCACACACTCACACAAACTTAGAAAGAGTGAACTGGGGAGAGCGCCAACAAATAGAAACACTAAAGCAGAAATGCAAATAATGAAACTAATGAACCGACACTGCACACAAAGCTTCACAAATTAAAAAAGCAAATTATTAAAAACACAGTGAACAACGGATCAAACCTTGCACAGGAAAATATAGATATTTGCTATATACAACCGAACCGCAATTATGTGAAATTTAATAAGAATAATTAACTAAGAAAACAAGAATAATTGAAGAGCACAATAGTAAGCACGTCTGTTAACTCTCACTGAGAACTCTCTCGAGATTAATATCTAGCCATTAAATGAAGTTATTATACAACAACAATAGCATAATAAGCGCATGCACGACAATATATAAATCAAAGTGGGATTGCCATTGTCACGCCTCTTTGTAAGCGCATGAGATCATCGCGGCGATAAATCGACTCCATTCTCGCCTCCAAAATAACGCCTAGAGGTACGCAGACTTTCCCAAAACAAAAAGAAAAAAAAAAAAAACAGCCATTTGCATAACTAGCTGTAAAAGTGTTTAAAACATTAACAATCGCTAGCGATTGGCTGAATGCTGAATCCGCCAAAAGAAGAAAAAAATACAACAAAAAAAAAAAAAAAACCAAACGAAATGATATACGAAACAACAATAACAACAACAACAGCAACAGTAAAAAAGCTAAATAAAAAAGATGCTCAGTTAATGTAAAACGCAAACCAGTTCTAAACAGTAGAAAAAGAAACAACAGCACAACGCTGCTGTTGGTCGAAACGTTGGGCGCATCATCGCAGACCACCTTGTCGGCTGCTGGTTCGCTTCTCACTGCTCACTTCTCGCTTCTCACTTCTCACTGCTCAGTGTTCACTGCCGACTTCTCACTTCTCCCGCCAGTCCAAATACAATTGGATCGGGTAACTTTGAACTGGGCGTCGCGTCTAGGTGTTGCTGCTGTCGCTGCTATGGTGTCCAAATTGATGTTTCAATAAAGACTATAAATTTATGACTTACGAATCAAGTGGTTAAGAGACATTCCCCAATGCCGGACAACGAGTAGGTGTCGCCATTGGTGCCACAATGAATTAATTTGGACAATTTATGAGCCAATCTTAGAGACAGCCAGCCACACAGTCAGTCAGCTAGCTAACCAGCTCCGGCTAGGCCAATCGCCTAGGTCTATTCAACTAGCACGGTGGTCGAACGTTTCTATTCGAGAAATTGAATTATAATTTGATGCCCCAAACGCATCTGCATACATTAACGAATCGATTGGGCCACATAAATCTGGCAGCTGCGACACAATTAGCAGACGCCAAAACCAACCAAAGCCGCCACCCAAAATTGACAGCCAAACCAGGCAGCCAAGCCAGTCAGCCAGCCAGCTAGCCAGTCGATCCGGCCCGAAAAGTGTACGTACATAAATAGTCCGCATTGCTGCGCTCCAACAGCTGAAAGATAAACCTAAACGTAAACATTCTGATGGAACAGAGCAAGTCGATAAAGAGATGCTCTTTATAGAATACACTTTTTTATGCATACAATTTAAGAGTTAGCGCTTTTTCGGCAATTAAAGCGAGAGTATTATTGTAGACTTTCGAACTTAACAGTATATATCACATAGGACCTGGAAATGTTAAGATTGCCTGGAAAGGCTAAGATTTCTCTGATTTGTTTGCTGATGACGAAAAGAAATTGACAATTTCTGGTAATACTTTATGCTGGAAAGAGATTCGAAATTTAAATTATAATGATAAATATTATAATTTAATATAATTTAAAAATATTGATATATCTAAAACCAAAGTCGGTTTTTATTTGGCAACTTATAATGTCTTTTACTTAGAAATATAAGAAAAATATATAGACAGAGATATAGATATAAAGATAAAGACAGAAATAAAATATAGATAGATAGAAATATTATAACAATTTTTTATTTATTAATTTAATTTTACAATTTTTAAATGAATAAAAAAATGTATACTTCTAATGTTCCATAAATGCATATTCCAAACATATTTTTAAAATTTTCTAAAATGCAATAGAAAGCTAAAAATGTTTGATTCCAAGTTTCGCTTTTCGATTTGTAAATATATAGATGACAAGTGCAACACTTGAGCTTATATGCCCAGTGTACGCTTACGGATTCTCAAGAGCTTGGAACCGAGAGCTGTCCACATTCTGCAGCCTTGCCATGAACTGACTCTTAAAATGTCTCATTTAAATAACTTGCATGCATTTAGTCATCCTTTTTGTCCCAACTTGGCAACAGGCTGCAACTCGTTGCGGTTGTTGTTGTTGTTGTTGTTGCTGGCATGCGCCCAGGGCAGAGATCGTCGACGACGATGACGACGAGGACTACGTCAACGTTAAGTGGACACAAAAGTCGCCTCTCGTCGTTGAGAGTGTCGCGGCGGAGAGTATGTAAATCGTATGCGATTCTTTGTTTGAGATTTGCAGCGGGCTGCAGTTGCTGCTTGATCGATTTTGTCTTGCTTTTGTCAATGCGATTCAATTGTTTGACACAAACAAAAGGATAAACATGTGTGTACAAGATTTACATCAACATGGTTGCACTGTGTGTGTGTGCGTGAGTGTGTGTGTGTGAGTAATGGAGACATTTTTATTTGGCCTCTGCTAAATCTTTGATTTGACAAATTTTGAGCTGTTGTTGAGTAGTTGTAGCAGCAGCAGCAGCTGCCCAGGCAGCAACTGCTGCATTTTAATTAATTCAAATGCAATTCAGCAGCATCCGCAGACGAGTGAAGACGCGCTGATTGAAGCTGAAAGCCAGCACGTGAGACAGCAGCAGCGGCAGCAGCAGGCAGGAGGCCTCAGCAGCAGCAGCAGCAGCAGACAAACAGACAGCAGCCACTGTCACTTTTTTTTGTATTTCTTCTCTGTTGCGTCTGGTGCGGGGTGCAGAGGCTATGGACGTACTCGGCTCATTCAGTAAACGTTTGTGATTTGTAACGATTGTGCAGTACATAAATCAGTCATGGATTTATTGCGAGAAATGAAATTTGCTGGCTACGACTTCGACTTCGACTTCGACTTCGACTCCAACTTCGACTACAACTTGGCCTGGGTGAAGGTGAAGCATCTTCACTTGGCTCTCGCTACGTTTGTAGCTCTGTCTGTCCGTCTCTCTCTCTCTGTCTGTATGTCTGGCTGTTTGGCTGCTGGGTCGTGGTCGTGTGAGTGGCGCTGCGTGTGGGTCGCATAAATTTCACGCTTTGCGCAGGCGCTGCTACAAATCGATGTTCTCTTTTTTATACCCTCAAATGGCAATTGTAAATGGCTAAAATGGGGTATATTTGTTTCTTTCCTTTATGGAGCTGAATCCTTTTAGCCATGTTAGTCTCTGCATTCGTTTGTCTAGCTTTTTCAATGAATGATTCGATTGCGATCAGTTTTCATTTCATAGACTTGAATGTTTAAATATGTAGTTTTTTGCATACTTAATTTAATTATTGTTTTGCTTTGATATATTCTATAATATCTTATAAAAAAGTAGGAATTTATATATAGAGTTGGTTTTCTTGGTTTCTCAAAGAGTTTTATTACTGAAGTAACTTTTTGAATGGGTTTTATCTGTTTTTAAAATGAAATTTGAAATGAATGAATATTTAGAGTGGTTTTGATATATATTGATATTTGATATTCAGTAAATATCATATAATTATGTTGAATATGTTAAATATATGTCCTTTTGGCTATCTCCCACCTGTTAGATTTTTGTTTTATTCTTTTAAAAATAAAACAAATCGAAATTCTGTATTAAAAAATAAATTGACAGTGTATATTGTATGTATTATATTTAATATATATGTCTATCATATAGATATAGTAGTATTGTATATGGAAAAATCAATATATGAACTCAGCTTTTACGCTTAAATAGCTTCTACTGCCAAAGACACTAAATTTTATACGCCCAAAATCAACAGATTTTTCGTATAAATCAAGTTGTGTATAAATCGAATATTTTTCCCAATATATATTCTATATAATAGAACTCATTTTAGCTGAGCTGCCATGCTGTCATATGAGCAATGGGTATCTGCTGGTCGCATCATTTTACTCTTACTCTTACTCTTGCCTATTTGTTTCTGTTTTTTGCTAGTTTTTATGAGGCATGCGGCCGTGCAGCGCCGCTAGCTAAAATCGATAGTTTTGACAGTGCGCGAGACGAACCAGGAAATTGTAAGTTGCGCCAAAAACATGTGTGCTCAAGACAATATATATGCATATACATACATATATATATATATACGCATCTGTATATCAGAGCAACTGCTGACCTGGGCTGCCAAGCCGCCATTAGGCATGGCCAGAGCCAAAAGGGCAGATCACGAGTCTGGGCCAAGCAGATGTCTCCCTCTCTGTGTCCGTCCGTCTGTCTGTGTGTATGGACACGCAATGCACGGCTAATTGTTCGCTGGCCAACAACAAATGTTCAGCTGTAATGCAATAACTGAGTAGCCAACTCAACTCAAAGACAGTGGCTAAAAACGAAAAGGTAACAATTTTTGCTGTTGTTGTTGTTGTCGCTGTTGCTTGAATTATTCGCATCATATCTGATTGCATGACAGTTCTCAATTACTTTTTTTCGGCATTTCAGTTGTTTTATTACGAAATTGTGTGAGAGAATTACGAATTGGCATTTGGCCCGCCAAATGTTAGACTTAGAAATAGATTTCGCTATGTAAATATTTATCAAGTTGAGCTGTTAGGCTAGGCTAGGCTTAGGCTATAAATCTATTTCGATGTCAAGCGAAATTTAACAACTGTTAAAATTTAACACTTTTTATTGCATATTTTCAGTGCCATAAAATGAAGTGTGAATTGTGAAGTGTTTACGGATGTGAAATGAATAGAATGAGCATAAAGCTTGGAGATGAAGCGAATTTAAATTTATGGTAAGTCTCTTATATTGTCTCTATAGTATATCTATGTATTAGTAATATATATAGTAATATATATAAAACCTAGAGCTAAGTCTATGGGATACACGTTTATGATTGAGGTATAGAGAGAATTCATATATATTATCATATATATTCATTATATTTTAAGAAGTTACGCATGAATGTGGGAAAAATATTAAAAAAAAAAAACAAATATTACGTTTATTAATGTGGACAAAAAAAGGAATTGCAAACTCGAAGCAAATCCTTTTAAGAACTGTCTAAAAATTCAATCAAACTTTTTGTCTTAAAAGGAAACGAAAATAAGAAATACTTCTAAAATCTCTTAAAAGAGCTTAGTAAACGTTTACGAATTTGCCTAAAAGATGAATGAATTTTAAAATTAAAATAAAAATAAACATTTTTGAATAAAAAAAAAAAGTTTTTTTAACTATATATAAACAGGGTAATAGCTATACTCCTTAGGCAAATTTTACTTATATTTTTTAAAAGCTTTTTGAGGCTCAAAAGGAATCTTTTTTAATGATTTACGAATTTGACTCAAAGCTTACTTATTGAAATAGATTTACATTTTTACTCTACTTTGATACCCTTAAGACATATCTAGAAATGGCAGACTGAAGTCTAGAAAGAGTTTCGAGCATCGTAAAATTTTATGTATTTTAAAATGTGAATTTCATTGATTCATTCTACAAACTTTAAAAATCCTTTAAAATTTGAGTTCAATGCACTCCACTCGAATATTTCAGTTTCCCTTATTGCGTTGGCTGGTGTTTGGCTCCAATCTAACCGTAGCTTGTGCGCATTACCGTTAGGTATTTTTTGTGTGTATTTTTGGCCAAAAACTTATAATTTATGACTGGGTAAACTTTGCCTAATCCCGGGCCTAATCGTCTGGGCCACGCTGTGCTGCATGTCCCATGGACCGATAGCAAAGCCAAATAAATATATATATATAGTTTATTAAAAAAGAGGAAGGAAAAGAGTCAGTCACCTCGGCAGAGAGCACGTTTCGCTTGTATTGAAACTTTCTTGGTTTCGGCTTTCGGCTTTGGGCTTTCGGTTTTCGTTTTCGTTTCATTTGCTGGCTTCATAATTTATTATCGGTTCAAAGGCATCTCAATTATGGCGCTCCTGGCAGACATGAAAGCCCGCAACTCGTAGCAAATCTCTTTTGGCCAATCTTATTGGCCACAAACATATCTCGGCTGCGCTCGCGCGCTGCGTTTCGTTTTGTTAAATCTGCAATCGCAGCAATTACAAAAAACTCTTAACAAAACTTTATTCAATTAACTCTTTGCCAAATGTCGTAATGCTTAGGCAATTTTATGGCTGCTGCTGCTGCTGCTGCTGCTCGTTGGCTTTTCGCTATTATGATTATGAGCTGGCGCGTTTTATTGGTGTGAAAACGCGCCAGCGTGTTGCACGTTGCAAGTTGCTAGCGCGTTGCAGCTTCAATTTCAGCCACACTGCAATCGTGACGTGATTTTGATTGCCGGCAGCAGCAGCAAAAGCGAAGGCGATCAAATTGTACGCCCCTGCCA